TGCGCCCCGCCACGCCGACTCGGCACCTTCCCAACGCCACGCCGGCTTGACTCTGGTCAGGTACGGCCGCGGCCGCCGCGCGACCTGAGCTGGTGCAGCTGGCCAGCGCTGCCTTCGGTCGCGGCCGCGCAACCTAGGCCCCCCTCCCTCTCCAATCCCCAATTTATCTCGTAGAAAGTAGTCCAAAAACAAGTACCTTCATTCAAATTCTCTATTCTGCAAAATCAGATTTAGAAACATCAGTTTCATAAAATTAAGGCCGCACGAAAGGTAAATAAATCGGAACGTGCTTCTTATCTTCTTTTGACACGTTCCTTGCGGCTTATTTTGAGTGCCTATGGTTTAACATGGGAGCGTAACCACGTTGTGGTCACGCTGCAAGGAACATCTTACATGGAAAACTACTTGATATAGAGGAATGTGTGGGTGGATGTACTAGCTCCTTGCTTACGACGACGTACTGCTGGCGACCGGCACCTCTCCGCTGCTCGCGGCCGCGGCCCAACTCCACCCCGCCCACGGAGGAAGTCGTAATGGCATGGACTCGATTATGCAAGGCGAGCCCAGCCCAGGGCGGGCCAGCCCAAGCCAGCCACCGCTTTGCTTACCGACCGACATGACATCGCCCGCCAGGGTTGGCCGCCGCCGCCGGACTCACTTTGGTTATACGCGCGTATTGCGTCGAGCCGTCATGGTGACGGTGGTGAACACGAGGGACACTGGTCCACCACCAGCTCCACTTAAACCATCACCAGGAAGTTACAGGGTGTGGTGCGCGTGGTCATGGTGACGGTGGTCGATGACGCAGAAATTGCTCCACCACCAGCTCCACTTTAACCATCAGCGGGAGGTGGTTACCTGGCAGTGTCCATAGGTCATGGTATGGTGACGGTGGTGTGAACTGCACCATCACCAGCCGCACTTAAAACCACCACCATCACCGGGTGCGCGAGGTATGGTGACGGCGGTATGGGCTTGTGATGCTGCACCATCGCCAGCTGTCGCGGTCACCTCCGGTCCGTCGTGGCGGTCCGCGCCACCCACCTGGACGACGTGCTTGCGCGCATACCGCACGTGTCCTCCTCCTACCTGGCGACCGTCTGCCGCGGAGCTGCTTCGCCTGACCGAAAGGAAAATGGTGTTTGTGGAGACGTGTCCGGCAGATAGCAGCCGCGCGTCCCGCCGTCCCGGCCGCCGCGGCCCCTGCCGTGCCGCCGTGTGTGAAAAACGACATTTTCTGCTGCAGTGGGAAGTGGCTCGGCTCGGCGCGGCGGAGGTCGCGGGGCAGGCGCGCACAGCTGTGCGTGGCGCGGCGTGGCGCGGCGTGGCTGTAGGGGACGGAACCAGTGAGTGGCGGGTCGAGTGTGAGTGAGGTGGTGAGAAAGTGCACCAAGGGAAGGTGCCGGTAGGTGCGAGGGTACTTAAACACACATTGAGTGGAGCGCTGAATGAAACCCAATAATGCGGCATAATTAGTAGGCCGTGAGAGGAGTATCCACGCCCGCGTATGCCGGGCGCGGCCCCCGCTCTCTCCCTCTCTTCCTCTTTCGCTCTCCACTGGAAAAACAAGTATAGCAATCAGCAAACTTTCTTGGAGTTTGAACGGCTTGAGTTCTAAATTTTAATGCATTTGGACACGTTTACTTTTGTGCCTTTATTGAGGCATTAAAATTTAGCTTCTTTGAAAGGCACCAAGTCATACCTTTGTTCTTTGTTTCTCACTCAGTCTCTTGGTATCCCTCCCTCCCTCTCTCTTTCTCTCCCTCCCAGGAGCTCCTAGTCGCAGGCTCGGTCGCAGGTTATCGCCTGGCAGATGGTAGGTAGGCTCGTGGGAAGGGGCGGCCCTCCCCGTGACGGTCACGTGACTGCCGCACGCTAACGCGCTGCTACTAGGAGGACGTTGGCTGAGCCCTCCGGTGTGATATCACCCCCCCTCCGCCTCCCCGTTTCCCCTGTTAGGCAGGGCTCGTCGTCGGCCTACCGCGCACTGCGCCCTCCACCGCAACTGCCGGAATATTGACCGCGATGCCGTCGCGCCGCCCGTAGCCATAGCCGCGGCCACCAGACCCGGGCGGTGGCGGTGGCGGTGGGGACGCCGCCGCCGCGGCTCCGCTGACCGCCGCCGCCGTGGTCCACACCGCGGCCGCCGAGGCGCGCTGCGGCGTGGGCGGGGGACTTTTAGCGCTGCTAATTGTTTGTCGTGGGGTGGTTAGCGCCGAGCCGTCTGCGGTCGGTGGCTGCCCCCTTCCCGGGCTGTCGTCGCAGCCGTCTCCCTCAGCCTCCTTTCAGAAACGATTCTGCTGGCCATACCTTCTTGGCTCCACTCGCCGTGCTCTACCGAACGCCCTGCTCCGGGTTGTCGACAGGTCGATAGGGTGGGCTCACCAACCACCCCGAGGCTGGCGACGGGACCGCCCGGGCCCGGGGCCCGAGCTCCCCCGGGGGTCGCCCTCGCCGCGAGGCCGGGTCAGGGCCAGGGGCCACGCGATGTTAGGGTGTGGCCTCCGCTGTCTTCCTGCTGCTTCTATTTTTCGCCCTTATTATTTGCCTTTCGTTTCAGTTTTTCTCGGCGGCCTACTCTACGCACGCGCCTGCCTGTCCTGTCGAACCTCCCTCGCGGCAGAGTACACCGACCGCGTCCCTGTTTCGCGCGAGTGGCTCTCTCTTCTCTCTCTCTCTCTCTCTCCGCCAGCAGTAACTGTCGGGCTGCTGGCGCAAGGCGTAATGGGGCAATACATACTGGGCTGTCCCACCACCCGGTCCCACTCCAAGTCTCCAAGCGCGTCAACGTTGGCCATTTGAATAATAATTTGAAGACCTCCTTTTGTATACATCGCGATTTTTCACCTGCTTTATCTCACGCGTGTGTTTGAATCGCTGTGACCTGCTGCCCCCTTCCCCCTCCCGCGCGCCCACGCTGACTCGGTGCGTGACCGCGTCACCAGGGGAGGGGGTTGTGTGGCCGCATCGCCCTGCTCTAGTCGGGATTGACTGGCGGGTACGGCTGCGGGGAGCACCGGACCTCTGGCGGGGGCCCTCTAGAGTGGGCGAGTGTGTGTGGATCCTAAAAAGTTTTTGAATTTGCCGCCGGTGGGTCCCTGGTGGTGGGCGGGCCGGGCTGGGCCGCAGCCACTGGCTGGCGTGGCGAGCCCCTGGCGCGCTGGCCGACCCGCTCGACGGGCGTGCGTGCCGGGCGTGCCTACCCGCCGGGCGCCCGCCCGGGGTGGAGGCAGGAGGCGGAGGCGGGCGCTGTGCGAGC